TCTTGACCAAGGTCATGAATAATGAATGTTTAAATGATAATAATACATGACTTCACCTTAGTAACACCTGTTTGACACTGACCACAACAATGGCTGTCTTTTTCTTAATTTCTTCACATTAACTTGTGAATATTGACAACTTATTGTGATTTGCTTAGTTTAAGTTCAATTAATTTATCATTTATTTTAAGTCTAAACAGTACAGTCTCTTAAAGAAACTAAGTCATAACCCCCTCCTCATCTGAATTCGACATTTTCTTTAATGAGAGAAAAGATCTAGGTCAACTTTCTGTTTTTTCATCTAAATACGAGTTTGTCTATTGCCCTTGACACTATGACCTGTCACATGATGTAATGAATATATCTATACAATGTTATAAACAATAGTTATTAGTCACTGTAATTAGATCTGTCTTAACAGCATATTTAAAATAATATTTTTATTAGTAACCCCACCTTTCCTTCATGACTAATTGAAATATGAAGAGATAATTATTTAGGATTGAGGAAGGATGGGTCAAATTCTAGATTAAAGTTGAGATGACATAATATATTCTATTCTCAGTCTTCTTGACAACATACATCTTACTTATTACTCGTTGTTTTTGAGGCATTCTACACTGCGCAGTTCTGGAGCTTGCTCCTTACAAAGTAATTCAACCAAGACACAAGGAAGAGTGGCAGCGCCAAATTATCCTCACAAAAGCCCCAAAATACAATTTTTTGTGGAAACATTTATTATTTGATAGTAAAAATGTAAGAATATTGAAAAGAATACTCTAAATTCTGCTACTCTAAGGATTACAGCCTTTTATTTTCCAAATTTTTACCCCTGACTTCCCCTAACAAGAATTCCCCACACAATTGGTATATATCTGGATGATTTGATTAAACATGCATCGTTCCAGTAGAGTTGTTTCAACAATTTCCATGCTATATGCATCTAGATTTTTCTACATTAAAAAAGTTTGGAATTCTCATATATGACAGTATCATAGTAACGTGTAATGTTTTTATATATAATATCATCTATATTTTATGGAGATCAGTCAGCAGAAATAGTTTGTGATATAACAGACAACAGAACAAAGAGACTATAAATAAAAATGTCTGTTCACAAGATAGAATATAAACTATCATTTGTGATATGTTTAACATGTACTTAATGTCTATGACTAATTCTACTCTTAGTTAAAAGTTACAAGAGATTGTAAGAAGTTTTTTTTTTTAAAGATGTAACTCCAGCTTTTATTTTCAATTTTTCAGTCAAGGGTCTGTGGTTTGTAGTTTTTGTAGTTCCTGCAACAGTGATCCCAAAAAAAACTTACTTTCAGTTGAATTGCTTTCACTAAAATCTAAGCTCTTTAAATTGGAATCTAACGTACTAACTGCCTGAAGATGTTATAATATTATAATGACATGAACTAGTTAAGTTAAATTGTGAAGGTTTGTTGATGATATCAGTTTCACTTACAAATAACACATCACAGTAATAGAGTTAAATAACACATCACAGTAATAGAGTTAAATAACATATCACAGTAATAGAGTTAAATAACATATCACAGTAATAGAGTAAAATATCATATCACAGTAATAACATATCACAGTAATAGAGTTAAATAACATATCACAGTAATAACATATCACAGCAATAGAGTTAAATATCATATCACAGTAATAACATATCACAGTAATAGAGTTAAATAACGTATCACAGTAATAGAGTTAAATAACATATCACAGTAATAGAGTTAAATAACATATCACAGTAATAGAGTTAAATAACATATCACAGTAATAGAGTTAAATAACATATCACAGTAATAGAGTTAAATAACATATCACAGTAATAATACATATCACAGTAATAGAGTTAAATAACATATCACAGTAATAACATATCACAGTAATAGAGTTAAATAACATATCACAGTAATAGAGTTAAATAACATATCACAGTAATAGAGTTAAATAACATATCACAGTAATAGAGTTAAATAACATATCACAGCAATAGAGTTAGATAACATAACATTTGGAGTAGGGGCTGTTTTTACCTTTGATAATCAGGCCCCTGGGCCATAACACATTTCTAATGCTCAGCTGAGTTTTGACTCAAATTTATAATGCACCTCATATCAAGAAAAGTTAAAATTTGAAGATTACTGTGATAATGTCAGAAACATTGAGATCTAATGAATAGATTGATATATTTTGTTGTCTTGGATACAATCAGTTATTCACCTGTAATAGCTGATTCAAATTTGATTAAATTCTCAGATAAGTATGAAAAAATATTATGTGCCCCTGGGGGATAGATTATGTCAGTTTCAAGTTCAAATTTTCTGTCATTTTAACAGTTAAAAAGTTTACAACAAAAAATATCTAAACAAATTTTTTATCTTTTCAGTCCATGTTGGTCTCAAGAGTCATGGGGTACACTGAGCTTACATTCTCTAAATTCTTCAAATAGGAATGGTGGAACTTTCACCCTTATATCTCATTTACTATTTCAATTAAACTAAAATAGATAACAAACTCTAAACAAAAGATAACAGTGTGAAAAAATATAAGAAAATAATCACTGTGGTTTTAAGATATTTGATAATAAAATGTATTGAATTTGTAATGGATTGAAGATCAAAAGAATTCTTTTAACTTTGTTTTATCAAAGTGATAAGGTACACTTACAAAATGAAATCAGCACCAAAATTCAACATTCTTTTCGGAATTCAAAAAACCTTATTGGTGAACAATTTGTTTGCAGAAAATTAAATTTGGAAAACAAAAGAATAATTTGCCAGCTAAATCTCGTTGACACAAACCGTTTAAACTTAAGGGGGTCTGCCCTTTTAAAGCTTATAAACCTACAAAAAAAATTCATCGCATAATCTTAAAACTAATTAAACCTTACTAAGTAAATCAGCCCAAATGAATAGACCTTGCTTCAGACCTCGGCCCATGCGTTCTATTTATTCTATTCTCGTTTCACCTATCACCTGTTTTGACAGTAAGTTTTTCTATCTCAATCTTCCCCTGGATGAGACTGATGAACTGTAAACTGTGAAAGTCAATACAGACTGTGTATATAACACTTAGAGTGAATAATAACTTCTTGATAACCTAGACCACTACATCAATATCCAGTATTTTACAATATAACATACGACAATTACCTCATATTGGTTACTGTCAATCTAGCTTTCTAGTACTACAGAATTTCATCTTAAAATAGGAAAACAGGGGCACTCTATCAAAGTAACGTTCTTTAAAGCCCCAAACTTGCCAAATTTTACCTTTATTCTGTTGGAAATGGATTGGGAACTCAATTAGGATAATTAAGATCATGCAGAAGATTATTATTACAGTTTATAAGGAGAAAACTAAGATTATTATTACAGTTTATAAGAAGAAAACTAAGATTATTATTACAGTTTATAAGGAGAAAACTAAGATTATTATTACAGTTTATAAGGAGAAAACTAAGATTATTATTACAGTTTATAAGGAGAAAACTAAGATTATTATTACAGTTTATAAGAAGAAAACTAAGATTATTATTACAGTTTATAAGAAGAAAACTAAGATTATTATTACAGTTTATAAGGAGAAAACTAAGATTATTATTACAGTTTATAAGGAGAAAACTAAGATTATTATTACAGTTTATAAGGAGAAAACTAAGATTATTATTACAGTTTATAAGAAGAAAACTAAGATTATTATTACAATTTATAAGAAGAAAACGTGTGACAGGTTTGAGACAATCAAATAAAATAGGTCAGCTAATCAAGCACTGAACCAGTCAGTCAGTGACACTACTCCATTCATCTTAAAACTATTTCACCTTCAACTCAAATTACAACACTTTCACTTCAAACAATAGTTTAACAAACACTCGGGCATTATGTCATAAATAACTATGAATAATTATGAATGATATACCACAGTAATAACGCCCTGATAAACTTATATATGAAATAAACTTACTGTTATTTAAAGAAACATAACGGTTCAATGTTTGAGATTAGGACTGATATTAAACAGTGCAGCAGAACTTGAGACTCATGGAGGAGGCGGTTCAAACTCATCAGTCAAAAGTCTGTGGAAAAATTCACAATTTTTCTCAATATTACGCAAAAACATAAAAAATTCCAGCCATACCTGTGCGTATTTCATAACTTGAAGCGTTTATCCAGCCACATATTGAATAGAATCCTGGTGAAATGAGGCCAAAAGGCCGGTATTTGTGAGTAACAGACAACCAGGTCGGTTTTTACCGTTATTCCTTTGAAGGTGTACAATAATCATTCAGCATCCTTTTCATTGGGTCTGTATAATAATATTACAGACTGGTTATTCTCGACTTGTAGCCTCTAACATCCACGTATAATGTTATTACACACTGGGAAATCTCGACTTATAGTCTCTAACATCCACGTATAATGATATTTAAAACTGGTTAATCTCGACTTGTAGTCTCTAACATCCAAGTATAATGACATTACAGACTGGTTATTCTCGACTTACAGAAGCATTATTTTGCTTTTCAAAAAAAAAAAAAAAGATGAATGAAATGACAAAGAAAGCCACCCAGGTGTACAGATAAGAAAGACAATGTACTGATATCTTAAAAACAGATGTTAGTTTTATTTATGTATTTGGTAATCACCGCATCAACTAAAGATCTTCAGCTTATTAAATAAAAAAAATTACTATTACTTTTTTCTTTTACAAAATTCATTCATGATTAATTTTAACAATAGGGGGGTATCGTTGCTATTCAGTGTGTGTATAACCTCGTATAGCAAATACAGACGTGTCAATTTATTTGAAAAGGTGGGGATGGGGGAGGGGGTGTATGATGTAAGGAAGGGCGGGGGTTGGAGCCAGGAAGGGAGAAGGGTGCTTTTAATAGAATTTATGAATATGCATTTAAGTGTTTTTAAATGAAAACATAATTTGGTAAAAATTCTTCTTAGGAATAATATTATGCATTAGACTTTAAATATTTTATTCTGACAATTTCAAGAGAAGAATTTAACATTATCTAAGGGACACAACTCTACTATTGTTTCATTAAAACAAAACTCTGAGTACATCCAAACACATAACTCTTACACTTGGTAAATAATATTGAATTAAGTACAATCCGGGCACACTGAAAACCCCTGTTCAATCAAATCTTTGAAACATACCTTTCTTACTTTTAGAACTTTATAAAAAAAAATTTACATTTTTGTGCCAGTGTTTTTTCAAGAGTCGGCTCAGTGTAGACTTTCAAATGATTAAAAATTTAAATTTGTATATTTTATTAGAAAATAAAGGACTATAAAACAATTAGTTACAAATTCTGTCTCATTTTTCATTGGAATATAAAAAAACAAAAAACAGTCTAAGTATTTTCTGCCATTTTAATTAATTTCCAGGCCAGTCTTGAACTGTTTTCTCAGACAAGAATTTGCCTTTAATATCTGAACCATGAGGAAGGAGAGCTAAGTAAACAGGAGTTTCTGCACCTGTAATAGAAGTTACGTAAATCATAAGTGAAAAACAAAAACATATATAGAAATGAAGATGCGTTAATACCAAATTGACAAATCTAAATAATTGTTAGATCATATCTGAAGGCATTGTAAAAGGGTTTACTAAATTTTTTTGTGTATCTGTGACACTGATAGCTTCAATTTGCACCATTTTAATTTTCAATCAGACGTCTGTTGTTCCTGCAATTCCACTTTGCCGTGAATAATCGCAAAATCTCACTTTGCGATAGTGAATACTTTTTGTGAGTCACAAAAGTAAATACAGATACCTAGAGAGAATCAACTGATTTGAGAGGAGAATAAACAGAGAGATAATTTACAGTTTGTGGTGGATTGTAGGGGAATAGTCAAATGTTGCCTCAAGGGACATTTTTTGTCGAAAATCCAAATCCTACCTTCGTCAATTGTTTTAGTGCCTTTATGACTCGACATATCAGTATCAACGTAACCAGGGCAACACTGAAATTAATGATAATTAATCAACCTTACTTAATACAACAAAATAACGAACCTTGATCGATGGTTTTATGTCCTTTATGGCTTGTCATATCAGTATCAACGTAACCAGGGCAACACTGGAAGATAGTGAGCAATATCGTTAAATTAATGATTAAAATCAGTACAAGCAAGACAATTCTTTCAATCAAAAATCTCGTCCACAGAATGGCAAAATCAGGGGTAATAACTGTATAGTAGTGGACTCCTCTAAAGTACCATCGGGTGTTTCGAAAAGAATGGTAGGTAGGTAGATGACAAGTTAACGTTCGCTTCCAGCGGATACTGATATCGCAAACTAGGAAGTAGTTGGTAGTCGAAAAGAATGAGTCAGCATCATGAACTATACAAAATACTTAGTTGTTAATATTTCGTTAGGATGAGGTGTGCATTATTTACAGTAATAGAGGTTTTCCCAGATATACTGGAGGATAATAAGGGGTACGTATTATATATGACAATATTTACAATACTATACAACATATCAGAACTGGATATCCTGATGATGGGTCTTGTATCCTTTACAACCAGTGTTGATAGGATGATAAACAATAAGCTCTACCTATTTTGTAAACACGTCAACATTGAATAAATCTAGTCCTAGAGCTGAGGTCGTTTCAAGAATACAGGACCATATTATCTTTATCAAGGATGATTAAACGTTTTATTCACGTACTGGCAACTTTCCTAACTCAATCACAAACTAACTTACAGCATTGACAATGATATCATCTTTAGAGTTTAATTCTCGTTGTTGTATAAAAGTCATTACAGTTACTCCAACTTTCGACATACCATATGCAGACTTGGTGAATCCTTTTTCTTCAACCTGATCATCTTTAGCAGATCTAAAATTTTACAGAAATGTGAGTCTCAATTTATCTGAAAGAGGTCTAACAATAAATTATTCTTATATTAGTTTATCAAATGGAAAATGACAAAAAAAACCCAACCATTTCTTAAGGATAAGAACTTTTAAACAGCTAGTCCTTGTCCAAACCTCTTGGTATTGATTTTACAAGGATAACAACTTTACAAGGATCCTTTCAACCAGTTAGTCCTTGTCAAAACCTCTTGGTATTGATATATACCAGATTATCCGTACCAATTTACAGCTTGGTGTATGACGAAAGATAACTTTTTTAAGGTCATCAGACTTTCATATGCTAACTGAGATTAGAGCCAATGACCACCATTTGTTTGACTAACCAAACTAATGACGTCATGACTCTGTTCAACACTCTAACTGACAGTGCTACAGTACCCCTCCATGACATTCAAAGTGGGAAACATTTTCTAGACCAGAATACAAACAGAGAATTGGAAATACTTACTGAACAAAATCAGCCATAATTTGTTTCAATTCATCCATTTTCAGATTTGAATCTAGGAATCTGGCTTTCAGAGCATCAGAACATTTTTTCCCAGACCACTGTGACACCATACTTGATACGTGTACAACTCTGTAGGGAAGAAAAATATTATCATATCCCATCCCATATTTAATTTGATGTTCTGGCACCAAAATACTGAGGAGCAAGTGGCACAGTTTACCACATGCCGTGGCGGTGAGAGACTCCTGAAAGTGGGGTACAAATTGGGTCAGACTGACTAAATAGGGGGTGGATGGAACTGTACTGTCCAGTTTTTTTATATTCTACATTTGTGTATCTGCGATAAGGAAAACAGAACATAAAACTAAGAGTGTTTAAATAAGAATATATAAAGTGAAGAAAACTCACCGAGCGTGAGGACGTAAGATAGGGAATAAGGCATTACAAACATCTAATGTTGCTGTAAAATTAGTTTTTACTGTTACTTCTGCCTGCTCTGGGAAGGGAGCAGTTGAACTTTGCTGAAAAAAACATATCAAATCTATTAATCTTTTAAATTAGCTGCAATCAAGTAGGTAACTGAAGATTAAAGTAAAGTGGGAAAGTGACAAATAGGTACCAGAAAAATGGTAAAGAATTTGAATTATAATTTTTATACAAAATAAAAAATGACACTCTTTGATAAGAGAGGTCATAGGGTCAAGTTATATTTGTAGTTTATAACAGATATGAAGAGTAAATAAACTAAGACAATCAGATTGAATATGTAATAATTTGGTAAATGGTTTTATTAGAGATACTCTACTATAGAAGCACTGGCCTAGGTCACAAGTAGAGACTGTGGATTTCAGCATTGAATACATCAATCTGATAGAAAATTACCTACTTCTGGAGAGATTTATAAGATAAATAAATAATTCAGAAATTTCAAAGCGATTGTTTCAGGGAGTTAATGAAAGGGGTTCTTATCTACCATGGACAAGAACATTACTCAGATTTTGTTGTAATACAAACCTTATAAGCTATGCCAGCATTATTTACTAGAATATCCAGTCCTCCGTAGTTTGATTGTATGAAAGATTTGAGACGATCAATACTATTTGTGTCACAGATGTCCAGTTGTTGGAATTCTGGTTTTAGACCCTCCTTATTCAAATCTTCTACTGCCTTCTTTCCTAGATCTTCATTTCGAGCTGAAAACAGTAAAGTTTGGTGATTATTCTAGAAGAGATAATTGTGAATATTATCAGTGGTGTTTCTGGCCCCCTTTAAAAATAAGGCTGGCTTTGCCTTATCATACTCTGCATACATAGGTCTATTGTTGGTACACTGCTTATACTAGCTACAAATATAGGCCTATCAATAAACCCTGCTTGAGAACAACTTTATCAGCCCCAATATAGAATTGTCTGTCACTTACCTGTTAATATAACATCTCCTTTAAATGATTTACATAATGCTCTAACAATGGCAAAACCAATTCCCTTATTACTTCCTGTTACCTGTAAATAATCAATCAATAATTTTACAATAAATTTTCAAGATGCACGAACTCGAGCTGACATTACCAATTAGCTTTTTACAACTTAAATTGAATAGTAAATGGAGTTTAGCAATCTACTTTCACTTTCTGATAGGGGAATGAAAAATGGCTATGTTCGATACTTATAATATCATAATAAGATTGAGGCAAAGTTTAATATCATTCATAATGATTATTTCTACAGTTTATTTTTTTGTTTTTTTTTGTTTACATCAAACTAAGAAATGGAAGTGTGCTTATTCTCAAGGGAGATAACTCGTCCTTGTAATAAAGAGGAATCAGACCACCAATCATACTGTTTATGTATTTGAGTCTATTGAATATCCAACACCTCCCCTGGAAATTTTTTAAAAAATAAGTTCTTGTAAAAAGTCTTAAAGTTCTTTTCGCTTAAGGAAATTTGACAAATTTAATCTCTTCGGTGGGCGACGTTGACGTAAACTTCTCCAATTTCGGGCTGTCTGTGGCGAAACTGGTGTTCTTGTAACATCTGGTGAATGTGATATCGTTTGATCTGGAAAGTGGTTCCTTGATGCAGATTTTGGTATAGGGACCAGTGGGTAACGACGTCTAAGAAACTTTCTATTTCGTCTTAATACACGACCACCATCAGTTGAATGAAATAGTCTCTATGATTACCAATTTTAATAATTGATCCATTAATCGTCCAACGCTTCGTTCTGTCATTTTGAACGACTACTTTGTTTCCAACAGATAACGATGAAAGTGCTTGTGCAGTTTTATTGTAGCGTTTTTCCACTTAATTACTGTGTATGGAAGATTTTTCATCAGCATCAGCTATTATCTTTTGCCACTCTGGAGCGAAAGATCGTCGTTGAGCAGGCATATTATCTCGAAGAGGATGGCCAAATACTTTAAGAGCGGGTGACGTACCATCTGCTTTTGGCGTATTCTTGAATTGAAGTAGAGCTGTAATCCACTTGTTCATGTTGATATTTCTACCTGTCCAACAACGTCTTATCAGCTTTTTCATAGATTTAACTGTAGCTTCAGCCTTTCCATTTGATTGTGGAAAATGGGGTGAAGATACTTTATGTTGAATTCCCCATAGTTTAAAAAAGTCTTTCATGGATTTCGAGGTAAATTGGGGACCTCCATCTGTCCAAAGTACTTCTGGTATAGATGATTCCATGAAACTATCTTGGACTTGGAAACTCTTAATGATTTGATTCGTCGTTGAATATTTCCCAAGACGATGGACTAATGGCCATCCTGATAGAACATCTGACATTACGTGCCATTGTTCACCTCCAAAGGAACCCAAATCAGCACAAATATGTTGAAACACTCTGTCTGGTTCTGGGTTTCGTCTCGTCATTGGTTCTTTAGATTGCGATGGTAATTCTTCAGTGCATGCTTTACAGGAATGAACGACATTCTCGATATCGTTGTCAATACCGGGCCAATGGACGATTAGTCTTGCTCTAGCTTTGGTTCTGGTGATGCCTTGATGTGAAGCATGTAAATCATTGACAATTTTCTGACAAAGAGATTTTGGTATGAGGAGTCGAGGTCCAACTACTAAGAGGTTGTCATCGATTGATATTTGATCTCTAACGTTCCAGTAATGTTTCAAATCCTGTGAAAGTTGATTTCTTGCGTGTGGAAAACCATTTCTTACCACTTCGACGTGATTTTGATATTCTTTATCGACAATACTGGATTGACGAATATCTGAAAGGTGAGGATCCATGTCTGCATCTTTTACAGCTTGACGTATTAAATCCAGATGAAGCGTGTCGATCTCTTCATCGATAAAATCTTGATCATATGCTGTAGGCGTTACGACTGGAGCCCTTGATAATGCATCAGGTGCAGCATGATCTTTCCCTTTCTTCCATACCGCTTTAAACTTGATGTGGGCTTTGATGGATCAAAGTATGCTAATGTTGGAGTACTGGACAACATTTTCTTTGCTTCTTCGAATGATTTTTGGTGGATTTCATTCCACTGAAATTCGTTTTTTGGACGAAGGAGTGGTCGAAAGTTCTCTGTAGCGGCAGCTATCTTTGACGAGAATGATCCTAGTTGATTAACTAGACCAATAAACGACCTTACATCAGTGATGTTAGTATGGACTGGGTAATCTGTTATAGCTTGGATGATTTTAGGATCAGGACTGTAACCATCAGCTGATAATATAAATCCAGCGAATTCCACTTGTTGTTGTGCAAATTTGAATTTCTCCTTCTTTAAGGTAATACCACGTTCTTGACATCTCTGTAGGAATTGTCGAAGATGTTGTAAATGGCTATCAAGGTCACTATCGTAAATTGTGACATCATCTATGACTCTTCGATATCCTTGAAGGACAATAAATGCTTCGTCCATTCTTCTATTGTAATGCTCCGAAATAGAACAAATATCGAAAGGTGCACGAACAAATTTGTATCGCCCAAACGGTGTGATAAAGGTTGTGTAATCTTGACTCTTCTCGTCAAGAGGGCATTGGTGATAACCTTTAAGTGCGTCCATAGTTGTAAACCATTTTGATTTTGTTGCAGCTATGTAGGCTACAGCTTCAGCAGGTGTTAAGAGACTGGTATCGCTCTCGTTTAACGTATTTGTTGAGATGCGACAGATCTACACACAGGCGTATATCGTCTGAGCCTTTTTTAGGTGTAACTACTAAAGGTGCACACCAAGCTGATGGATAGGTAACTGATTCGATGATTTTCTTATCAACAAGGTCATCAAGTTCCTTCTTCAACTTATCTCTGTACGCATAGGCTACTCTTCTTGGTGTTGCTACACAAAATGGGACGGCATCGTCAGTGAGTTGAATTGTAAATTCTTCTTCAGGCATTGGCTTAATTTCATCGCTGAAAACAGATGAAAATTCTTTGATGATGTCCTCTGATTTTAATTGTGTACTACTATTATCTACTTTGGCAGAATGATGAATTTTCTTCACTTCTGAAGTTTCGTGTGATATTTGTTTTGGATAATCTTTGGGTATTATGTCCAAAGCTTTTGTAGTTTTCCATGACAAGATGCATCCTTGAACTCCTTTTAAGACATGAAACTTTTCTTCTATAGTTCGGGTACCCAACTTCACCGTTGCATAGAATATTCCAAGATTCTCTATGTGATGGTTATCTGCTGATTTAAAAACTGGTTGATCTGTATCTTTGAAAAGATCATGAGATTTGATCCTGAATTTATTCATCAAATCTTTACCAATTGCTGATATTTCTGATCCAGTATCAGGCATAGCTGATATTTTTAATTCTGCTTTTTGTAGATGATTTGGTTTCATCATAATTTGCACTCTTGGTGACCTTTCTATTCTAGCTATCCTGGCTGTTATTGTGGATAATCTAGGTTTAGGTGCAGACTTCTTCAGATTATTCTTCCCAGAAGCTGAGCGACAAACTGTTGCATAATGTCCTTTCTTGGAACATTTTCCACAAATATTGTCTTTAGCTGGACATTTGTCAGCTGGATGTTGACTTATTATAGAAGCACTGGCCTAGGTCACAAGTAAAGACTATGGATTTCAGCATTGAATAGGCTACATCAATTTGGTAGAAAATTACCTACTTATGCAGTTATGGAGAGATTTACAAGATAAACAAATAATTCAGAAATGCAAAGCGATTAGTGTATAAATGAATTCTCATGTCACAGTAGTCCTCTCTACATAGCACGTGTTAGCTTGGAGTTGGATGAGGAAGTAGGGTTGAAGGGAAGGGGGCTATCATTGTATCATACAATACCAGTAATACATCACACCAGGACTGGTGCCATGGCTATATACAGTACCGTATATTATATAACATGCAGTGTATTTTTGTGTGTGTGTCTTTTCAACTAAAATCATACTAATGACTAACTAATTTTCACAGAATTAATAGATTTATCTATTGCTCTGTGACCTAGGCCAGTGCTTTCATTGAGACTCAATACACCCTAACACTATAGACCTGGGACCGAAACTACCCTTTTCTCCCCTACCATTGAAATTTCACAGGTGAAAAACAAGTAAAAAAAGCGTTAAATCACATTGTCATAAATAGAATTAGATACTTACGACTGCAACTTGTTTAGAAGCCATGTTCAGTATTCAAATTATAGTTTTAAAGGTGTAACTTTAAGTTTTCTAGCACGGATTCGACTTCAATACAACCGGTAACAAGAAATGCAGGTCGAAAAGAGGGTCGTGTGGTAGTCTCGATTATCACATAATAGAACTGTCTAGTGTTTCTTGTACATTATTTTGGTCATAATAACAATGTTTGCAACAGATTGCATTATATGAAACGTTTTTATTATGTTCAGTGTATTGTTTTGTATTATGCTACTACTGACTAGCGTTTTAATAAGGGACAAGGACTGAATAGTCCCTACCCTAGAGGGTCACGTAATAGCCTTTAAATTTTTTCTCGATTGGCAGGGGAAATGACTTGGCAAAAATTGTACAGTTATATAATATCATTATTATTTATATAATATTCCTTGCTGCTTCTTTCATATACAATAGGGGGCACTGTGCAGTTGGTCAACGGACTCTCCTTTTGACTAAATGTCATTGTTGTAATGCAACTCTAAATTGCTTTCTGGATAGGGTCATTCAGTAGCTTTTTGGAAGACTGGAGTCCACTTTGCAATTGAGGAATGATATCCTCAAGCTAAGGTTACAACTTCAAATCTGACTTGGTACCTGTAATGTTCCATTACGCGTTTAAAAGTTTATTAACTCCTACCAATGTTCGCCAATTTATGTTGTTTATGATTTCGAGTTTCGTTTTACAGTTCCGATTGTTACTACTTGGTTTATTTAAACAAACTGGATCAGATATATTTTATACTTTTATTTCATCTATTTCAACTCATTATAATATTAACAATAATTTACAAATTATTTATAAAACAAAACACAAGTTACTTCATCATAACAAAAACAGACATTTATTTCAACAACTTCACTCCTAGGCCAGTGCTTCTGTTAGAGACTATCTCTTATAACACATTAGCATCTAATACTAAGAAATTGTTCTAGTCCATCTGATAATTGACACTCGACAGGTGAATAAGAAACACCCCTAATTTTACAAATGAGCTTTCCCAATTACATGTATTCAGATTAATACTCATAGAAACCACGAATGTGTGGAAGGGTTCAATTAAAATTTGAGGGGTGTTTAATACAGGTTTGACACAGTCCTGAAATCATTTTCCTTCAAATCAGTAATCATTATTAATTTTAGCAGTAGCCCCTGGGGCCTCATTCTTGAAAACTTAACTTAAGATGATTTTAGACATCTGATTGGTAAATCACTAAAATTTATTTTAAATCTGTTTTATTATCCAACCAGATTACTGTATTTCTTAAAATCTGGATTTATTTAAGTTAAGTTTTGGAGAATCTACATAATCTACAATTCTATAATAATATCAAAAAACACACAAAATACTAGATGATATACTAGATGATATACTAGATGATATACTAGATGATATACCGTATAAAACACTCTCATTCATCACACTCAAGATCACACGAAACATCATTCACAATAATTTCACCAAAATACATATTTCATGACACCTATAGAACTATATACTATCATGTGGATAGATTTTAAACATCATCTTTACAGAAGACAAGCAAACCAATCATAAATTTATAAAAATAAATGCAGAAATACCTCAGCATATTCTTATTGGAACGATGAAAATTACTTTTAATTCTGATACATCGATCATTAACTGAAATACATGGCACAAATTAGACAAAAATTCCAAGCTCAGATTCAACTTTTCTGTTCTTTTTTAGGTTCCGTTTCATCATCTGGTTCAGAATTTGGATTATTTTTATCCGTGTTGCTATTTTGATTTGCATTTTTCGTAGAGTCTTTATCCAAGCTATCCTTGTTTGATTTTAAAACATCATCAGTATTTTTAGTAACATTGTCTTTAGATGTACTTTCACTTTCACTAGGTTTTCGAATCAGATTTTGTTTTTGTTGAAGTAAGTTACGTATTTTCTCCACAGTTCCGTCTGCATCCTCAATCACTTTATGACCTGAAGAAAATTCAATGTTTTATAAAATTATTTACATCCTACTTTTTTGCACCTGATTGGGCTAATGAAGACAGACAACGCCATACAAAGTGTAATTAGGAAAGATTTGCCAGCATTAGCCTACTCTTTTTCCTGACCAGAATCACTGACAGTCAGGAAGGGGAACTGAATTGAAAATCCAAAGGTATTATCTCGAACTATGTCAGAACTGAACCCAGGACCTGACCTATTTCAGTGTGCGTCCCTAGTGAAGTTTGACAATTAGTCAATAGCTTGTTTAAAGAAAAATGCTGATCAGAAGCTTACATTAAATATAAATTAAAAATTTGATCACAACTAAAAAGACACCATCATCAACCGAACAATCTACGTTTAATTTTAGCCAAAATTCCTTCATCGTCAGCAGGTTCATTGTCCTTCACACCCTCTGTTCTTTTTTCCTGGTTATTATCTCCCTTTCCATCTAAAATATAAATAGAAAGGAAGATAATTAAAGGCCCTGTGGGCGTGGCCTAAACCATCTTCATGATGTCAAATTATTACGAACTTCAGGCTATATCTTCAATTCCAATAGCCACCTTTCTTGTGTCTTGAAATTTGTAAATGCAGTGATTTGATTGGATTGTACACCAGCAGATACAGCAAATCACAGCCCCTGATTGCATGTGAATCAAAAGTGTTTACTCTCTCCCTCTCAAGGGCTCTGATTGGCTATATTTTCATTCATGAGTGAGCGTACAATCCAATCAAATTGCTGCATTTACAAACTAATGTCATACAAGAAAGGTGGCTATATTGCAGTCGAAGATATTAATCAAAGTTCGTAATAGCTTGACATTGTGAAGATGAGTTTAAAAAGATATGCTTTTGTAAGTCTATGTTTTGACATGTTGTAGCTACCAGTTTATGGACAAAGCGAAATTTATTTCAGTTTTTAAGTTTTAATATTGATGATAGTGTCTTTCAGCCCTGACTTTCTACCTCCACCTACCAGTTTTAGTCTGTGCTATACCATTAATACTACCATCTGTATGTTTCTCAAGTTCAGCATAGGCTGACATTAATGCTTGTTGTTCTTTAGAAAGTCTCCTAGAAATATCAAATTGTGAAAAATACATAAAACCTGGGCAAAATGAACATCAAAATTGTATTATAGGCGAGAAAAATCATAAGAAGAAACCATTGAAATTCTAAATTATTTAGTAAAAGAGTCCCTATAGCACTAAAATGACATAAAAATAACATGAATGGAGTTTTACACCATGTGGGTTAATGACTACAGGTGACGCCATGCAGGGTGCAATGAGGAAAATTTTGCCAGGACAGCAGCATCTTTTTAATTTACAAATGGCGTACACAGCCTGTAGCACATGAGGCCTTGGTTAGATCTGTAAATAGCTATTAATTATTTATGATAAAATTTAATATATAAAACAAGGTAGATAACTTACGTAGGTATTTTTATTTTAAAATGAACATAATGATCACCATTACCATAACTATTGACCCTAGTTATACCCTTCCCAGCTAACCTTACTCGATCATGTGACTGGGTACCACTAGGAATCTACAACAAATAATAACACATCATCAACATTAGATATATTAAATTCACCAGACAGCTAAAACAGAACCTGAAACATGTTGTTACTCAGACTTTCACGCTATGCAATCTTTAGACAACTGACCAATTACCTATTTAAAATAGTGCTCAATACGTCATCAACTTTGGAAATATTGAAACAGAACCTGAAACATGTTGTTACTCAGAGTTTCACGCTATGTGATCTTCAGACAACTGAACCTCTGTCCATAACTCATATATAACTGAGTTAAAAAGGGTGTTGAATACATCAATAGTAGAGCAATATAAAAATATTAAAACAGAACCTGAAACATGCTAAACTGCCTGTGTCCCTTCTGAAGATTGACCATAATATGCATTATGTTCTTGCAAAGTTTTTATAAAGTTTTGTAGTTAATTTTCTACTTTTGATTGGGTAATATATATGTATCAGTATTAAGCATCCTACACCACTAGGAAATTGGTCCTAATATTTCCTCTGGCTACTTACATTTAATAAAATATCATCATAAATTCCTGGAATACGTATTGCACCTCCCAAAACAGCCTGCGACAAACTAATAGTTACATCACTATGTACATCAGAACCTTCCCGTCGAAATATACGACTTTTAGATACCTGAAAAAATTAATAAATATCATCACACATCTGAAAATATTTCAAACGTTAACACAAACTATTTTTTATCTTAAGGAAAAGAAATAACTAAACCATCAAGCTATTGTGTCCCTGTGTTACCAACATAAGACAAGTTAACTTGTTAAAGTTGAAAATTTAATTTGGCTACATTTAACAAATGATTTAAGTCAGATTGAACAATAATTTAAGTTGACTTTCATATTCGTATCCAACAATCAATGAGCAAGATATATTGAACATTTTCAATAAGATGTATATTATAGAGCTGTTGAATTAAAACACCCCAGATAAACTTACCTTAAATGTGATAAAGAGTTCTTGAGTGCCAAGAGGCATTCTGATAGTCTGTCCATCAGCAACACCTGAAAAATAGGCAACATTTGCAAAAATTTATCGAAATGATACAGAAACAGTAAATGTAGTGTTAAGTGTCTTACGAAAGTTTGAGGAAATATGATCAACACCATATATCATGATAATCCTGTTTTTCTTAACCAGGCAATATTACCAACATTATAAATTCCTATACCAGTATTTATCATGATAACAGTATATCACCCAGCCCTGTTCCTAGTCCAGTAGAAGAAAGAAAGTTACTTTACCTGCTGGAACTGGTACAATGATCTTTTTCCTTAAAATTATTTTTCCTTTCCCTCGACAATCTACACATGGATTATTTATAATTTGTTTCTGTCCGTAACATTGACGACACGTTGATCTCATCATAAATGGTCCGGTGCTTATGGTTTCCTAGCAAAATAAAATCAGGTGTACAGTGAATAAAATAGGCAGCATGGAGTTAGAAATACAGCCAATCAGATCCCTTCATAGAAACATTATGGCTTATTGTTTAAAGACTTCCTGTCGACAGCTATGATTGGCTGTATTTGCCATTTTTCAGTCCTATCAAAAAGTTGCAGACTTCAAACTTCTGTTTGATTATCACCGGCCAGGATTGAACCCTGGACCTTCATGTTAGTGAGCAAGCGTCTAATTCACTGAACAACCGCGACTCCCTAGATATTTATCAAAACGTGTTTAAAATGGAGGATAGAATAAAACAATAGTCCTTACCATTCCAGTTCCATTACATCGTGTACATTTACTGGGTTTACTACCAGGTTCAGCTTTACTACCCCCGCATCTTGGACAATTATCTTTAACATTTATAGTCATCTCTTTATTTACTCCACGAGCAGCTTCTTGAAATGTTAGATCCATCATCACCTTAAACAGATTCCAAAATACATGTAGTCTGGTATTAGCATTTAAGCAGTTCAACTAGTCAAAATAAGAACGAAATACCAGATCAACATTGTTTGTAAGGAAGTTCTTTTTTTGATAAAAACTTTTCCCAAAAAGTTTAACGCCAGTGGCTCCCCAAAAATGAAATCATTGGTTTTTCAATTCTTTTATGAACTTCATTTGATAAAACTTCTCTAAAAAGTTAAATACAAGTAGTTTCCAAAAAGTTAAAATATTTGTACTACCGTACGACTGATGTACCTACCTCTGTTGCTTGAGCAAAACCATGTTTAGATTCTTCAAAATCTTGATTTCCTGCAAACCCTCCAAAATTAAACCCATCTCTAAATATTGTCCGGAATAATTCCTCAGGATCGATGTTACTCTGGAAACCTTCGAAACCCTGCGTGCCTGATCTGAAACCCCCTCCTGGAAATCCCTGGCCCTGACTTCCTGCCATTCCATAATTATCATATTGACTTCTTTTACCAGTGTCACTCAAAACCTGAAATTCAAAACTTGAAATTATCATCTTGTCTCTTCTTCTTCTTGAGATTTTGTGACTCAAACCAGAAATTATCTTCAGGATTCTTGTTTCAAGGTAAATTAGAACTTGCCGAATGCATCCTGTTCTTCATGAGTTTTACAGCACCAAGTCAAATTCAAAATAGAGTCATTGGCCATTTGATAAGTTACTGTTTTTATCTCATATATTTTGTAAATATATCTATAAAATGAGCATAGGGTTAGAGTTAATCTTTAGTAGGGTCATAGGATGAAATAGGTCAGCTGTCTGAAGATCACACAGGGTGAAACTCTGAGTAACAACATGATTTAATATTTCTATCTTTTTAATATAAGCATGCTAACCGAATACAAGCAGTCATTGAAAATATTACCTCATAAGCTTCTGATACTTCTTGGAATTTACCAGCTGCTGATTTATCACTTTTATTCATATCAGGGTGGTACTTTTTGGCCAACTGAAAAAAACATAAATGGGTTTGTGTCACATGACAGTATTTACTCTTAAGACACAGAAAGGTAGAATTATTCCAATTAAAAGGGACTATCATTTCCATCTTCAATTCAAAATGCAACTCAAATTTAACACGTCTGATCTGTAACATCAAATGTCATATGATACCTGTCTAGAAAAGAATTTGATTATCACTGGAGACCATAATGCATACAGATAAATAAATTTTTTTAACTTGCCCATATTACTGAGAAGTTTTAGTAAGTATTTACATTATCAAGAATCAACCAGTCATAATTAACAATACTAGTAGGCCTACCTTATAATAAGCTTTCTTGATGGTAGCAGCGTCTGCATTCTTTGAAACACCCAGGACTTCATAGTAGTCCCTTTTATCCAGTTTACTACTGTGATGTATAGAACAAGATGGTGTAAATGTATGTTGAGATAACATCTTGCGACAGGCTGAAAAAAGAATGAATTGGAAATACATGGACATCAAGTTTTAAATCCTAATCTAATGATTTAACGAGACAGGTTTGCCATATTTAGGGATTGATTTGGGTCTTGATTAAATGTCTTCGATACTATGGTTAAGAGGAATATTTTTGCACCAAGCAATTTCAATGCTGTGTCCATTTATAATGTGTAGATCTAGATATATCAATCTGTGATTGGTTTGATCCAGTGCCAGTGGCAGCGGACATTGACATGACAATGTTGCACTTTCACTCTTGCAGTTGCAATTAAATGGAAACAAATCACATGCCATGATCAGTTGCTGTATCCCCAATGCTTATAATCTTCAAGATGGTCAAGATACGAGGTTTATTTCTAGAAAATTCCATGCACAGAATGGAGAATGAGTTGAGTCGAGAGATGACGTAATTTCTGAGACAAAAACCATTGATACCTTTCTTTGATTGCCATGACAACACAGAATTGGCACCACTAAGAAATCGAACAGATGGAACTTGAAGTGATTCGAGCCTTAAATTACGCAGGCCCATTGAAATCGAGGAGTTTGCAACACACTTCAATGACATTGGGCCGCATGCTCCTCTGATCGCCGCCATGTTGAAAATGACCCTGAGAACCGAAAGGATCTTTTCTCATTAAGAATATTTTATAATTGTAATTTTTGAGCAAAAAGCAACAAAATCAAATAAAATACACAAAAAATGAATAACACTCCACGAATTCATTCACTTTGGCACCATTTGTTTTTATTCCATTTTTGTATTCTTTTCGATATTCTATATAATTTCCATCTGGTTCTCTAAAAGGGAAGTCACTCTAAGTAAAATATCTCATGTAAATTTTAAAGGAGAAATTAATTTCGGTCTGTGCCTGAACTAAACCGGAAACTTCAAATAGCCATCAAAACAAGAATTTGGGAGACACATTCTGAACAAATTGTAAGGATAATTAATGAAATGGCTGAGTTATTTTTGTGTTTTCATATTCAATGTGTCATTGAGTACGGACAGAAACAAATTATTGCGAAATTATTGGCGTTTTGGCTAACAGATTAGTCACAATATTTGTCATTATTTTATGGTTGAATTCATCAAGAAGGAAGGACACGCCCCCTCAACTGGTGAAGTTTTGTGAGGAAGGGATGAATTAATATATTTGAATCGAACAAAAACCCAGATGTTTCTGTATTATATTTTGCATTTACCTTACTTGTATTATCCTAAAAGATTAAAGAAATCAGATACATATCACTGGTTTCACCTTGTTGCCAGATGGAGAAGGCCTAATGCTATGGTGTTGATTATATTTCAATGAAAAATGAATTTATTTTTAAATTTTAAACTATATTCATTAAGATAATGGTGTTGTTTATATTCAAATGATAACTTTATATTTCAAATTATTTTTTAAAGGGAGAAAAATGGCTTGGAGATTCAAAGCATCCAAATATAAAAATGCTGCAGTGAAGTTTCCCAAGAGAGAGGTCAGTCTAGAGAGCTTCATTTCAAATAATCATTCGCTTTAATGAACAATCATTCAATATTTAGCCAGGAGTCTTCACTAAAAATTGTGGTAGCTATCAATGGAAGGCATGCTTATACTAAAAGATACCCTTGTCTATTGAGCATCACTTTTAGTCCACTTACCGGTAGCCAATGATATTCATAAGCAGAAATTATAAACTGTAGCTCTGAAGTGAAATATTTTTGTTTTTGGCAAAAAATTTGATAATGGCACTCTCAATTCATGTTATAAACGAAGAAATGTCAAGCTTGAAACAATGTGATTATTGATTATTTTCTCTTTTTGTCCATAATATTTTATACCACTGACTGAGAATGATTCCTGATTTTATATTTGCTGATGTATTTTTAGGAATTGATATCAGAGTTACCAGTATCTAGTATTAGTCAATCTTTAGGGAATCATATAAAAGCTAGTAGTAAATATATAGTATTTAATACAGATATAGGCAGTAAGTATCAAATAAATCAGATATTACAGAGAAAACATTTCTGTCATTAATGTTGGTTCACTGGAAAGTGAAATATAGTTATTTCAATTGTAAAATTATCAAACCTTATATTTCTGATATTCTAACACGACACTCCATTCATTTCATTACATTTTCTATTACAGATGGAGGTAGTTTAGGTTATTTACTATTAAATACGAAAGGAAAACAAGATAGATCCAACATTCCCTTAATTCAGGCTCATTCTGGTAGGTACAGAATTATTCTTCAGTCAGTTCCATATACTATTCCAGTGACCAATTTTTATTTTGGACATCAGTTCATCTTATTCTGTTGACAATATTATCATATTTGGAATATGGATAACTGGTATTAATATAGGGCTATAATGTCCAGACCTCACTGATGAGGAGTACGGAATCAACAATGAGAATATTCCATGGAGAGTTTCTGTAAAGAGTAATGATCTCATGAAACTAAAACAAAAATGAATATACTGGTCTTCTAAACTCCATAATGACAAGAATTTCTTTTTATTTTGTAGATTTTGTAAATGATTTTGATTTTTCACCATTTGATGATTATCTGCTAGCAACAGGTTCTATAGATAACACAGTAAGTATACAACTTGACATAAAGATAACACAGTAAGTATATACATTGACATATAGATAACACAGTAAGTATACAACTTGACATATAGATAACACAGTAAGTATACAACTTAACATATAGATAACACAGTAAGTATACAACTTGACATATAGATAACACAGTAAGTATATACGTTGACATATTGTGACTTTAAAAATCATCCTTCATGTTGTGACTTTGACTCTCATCCTCATTAGTTCAAGAACTTAATAATAAGAAATTTAAAACAAGGAGGGTAGGGGGAAAGGGTTGGTAAAACTGGGGCAGCCTCATTTATTGGGGGGTCCATGGCCCCACCTGGTCCCATCTGGCCCCCTGTCTAGAAACACCCCTGGCTTGATTGTCAAAAATATGTAATGATGTTTATCTGTTAATCATTCTAATCTTATGTTATAATTTATTTTTCCAGGTTAAGATTTGGTTACTACCTGAAGAAAGTGGAAGCTCAGAAAATTTGACTTCTGCTGAAGTAACTCTTCCATCTCAAGAAAGGAAGGTAGAAAACGTCCTGTGGCATACCACAGCCGAGGGTCTACTGGCAGCTTCTACGCATAAAACAGTTAAAGTTTTTGATGTCAAACAGTCAAAAGAAGTTTATTGTAAGAACTCTTTCGATTCCAGATTTTTATATGGCCATGTGTGGTTCAAAATATGGCAAAGAAATGCTAAACATCTAAGGGTGATTTTAGTATTTAAAGTTTGACTATGGTTAAAAACTCCAAAGCCATGTATTGTACATATTGAAAATGGTATTTTTTCAGTTCAGCCCTACAAGACATTTAAAAATAATTACTTTTCAGGGCTGAAACACATTTAATTTTTTTTTGTATTTTTCAGCGCTAGAACACAATGATTTAATACAGAGTTTGAGTTGGTCTGGAAATGGTCAATTCCTAGTCACATCTTGTAAAGATACCAAACTACGCCTATTTGATCCCCGCAGCTCAACGGTAGCTCAGGTTAGTCTGTTTTCAGCCTTACCCATAACCCTTAGCCCTCACATCATAGTGATCAACAGTTGTGAATAGCTGTTATAAGTTTCTAACATATCTCTCATGTAACTGAGTTGTAAGTTGTATTCAGAAATCATGACCACTCTCATTATTCACAACAATATACAATTAGTAATCACTATCGTGTAAGGGCACCTTATTGTGGTATTAAAGATGAAATGATACTATAGAGAAAAGAACATTGATTTTCTGTACATTCATTTAAATTTGTATTTCAGGAAGGTCCTGGATGTCCCAATCTAAAAGAATCAAGAGTATTATGGCTAAGTAATAGAGACCAAATATTAACATCAGGTTTTGACAAGGTACGTTTAAATATTTCCTGTGATCTAACATCCAAAAACATGTCTTAAAATCATAAACCAGACTGATAAACTTCATTCAATGTTCACTGTAGTTTAAATAGAAAGTTTATAGAAAACTATCTAATATTTTAGAACAGAAAAAGAATCCTACAGTTACACGATGCTAGAAATATTGAAAATATTTTATGTTCATCATTTTACGATGTGTCCACAAGGTGAGTGGTTTATTCAAGTCTTTCATGCTGGGAAATAAATAAATAAATAAATAAATATTGGTTAGTTGTTATTTCTAGAGTGTTAAGAAACTACTGGAGAGAAAGGGGGAGGGGGTTGTGATTTATTAACATTTAATGTTTGAAGGTTGTAAGAAAAGGTGTGTTCTATGTGTTCAGCTTACAAATGTGATACATATAATTGGATTTAAAACCTAATAATTGTTTCCTTGTAATGCCCTAGTTTAATAAAGATATGGTGATTATATTTCAGTGTATTAATACCTCTATATGATAATGATACTGGTATGTTATTTTTAGCAGGAAAGGTGAGTTGGATACAAAGTTCGTTAATTGCTCTTGAGACAGAGTAATTACTCTAGCAGATAAATTTAAAAATACTAAAACAGAACCTGAAACATGTTGTCTCTCTGTGCGATCTTCAGACATATATTTGTGCATTAGAAATACAGAAATATTACTACAGAACCTGAAACTTGTTACACAGAGTTCCACACTGATAACTGATCTATTTATATTGAATTGTTTAGGGCGATGGTAGAATAACTTATTTAGAAGTGAATGAACAGGCTCCTTATCTAGTTGAAAGTAAGTATCCAATGTAACAACTCATTTCAAAGTTTCTGTTTCTTTTTCTCATCTAAATATTTGCTTTATCAGCAGGCCCTGTCTGATTTAAACTTTCAAACTTTTATATGAATTATCTTCTCTTGTTTTAGATAACGTAGAGAGAACAGATCAAATTAAAGGTGTCTGTTTAATACCTAAACGTGGTGTTGATGTAATGCAGGGAGAAGTAAATAGATTATTAGTTTTAGCTCAAAACAGCATCATTCCTGCCCCAGTTATAATTCCTAGAAAGGTACAGTCTTTTTTATCAGATATTTATTTCAGGCTATAACAATAAAAATCCAACTATCTTATTTCACAAACAATCATATTATAAGAAAATACCGCACTGACGACAAAATTGATCATAAGATGCACCTATAGACCACTCTATCTGTTTATTTGTAGACATATCGAGATTACCATGCTGACCTATTTCCTGATACACCTACTGGACATCCTAGTTTAACATCTGAACAGTGGTTACAGGGAGAAAATAAAGAGGTAAGAGTTATCTTGGTTTCTTCTAGTAAATGTTTTATTTAAATTTTTATGTATACATTGATGTATCTGTATCAGGTATCTATCATGTTTGTCAACTCAGAGCCAGGGGGGCCAGGGGGGAGCCCCACTTTCAAATTTTAATATCATTATGCTTAAGGGAAATAATTGCCCCCCCTTGATATTTCTGTGTCCCTTACCTGGCCCCTCTGACTAATAATTCACAGAACACCAGTGTATATCACATAGTTAATAATACAATGGATATTTTTTATTTAACAGCTATCTCCGATGAGTTTAGACCCTAACTGAAGTGGCTATATTAAATGAACATTTTAATAAACAAACAGAATTTAATTAGATTAATAATACAAGTGATATTTTGTATTTTATAGTTATCTCTGATGAGTTTAGACCCATATAAAAGACCAAAGATAGAAAGTAGAAGAGGGGAGATGTTTTCTGATAATCCCAGTATGAGTTCTACCCCCTCATCACCTATATCTACCAGCAGTAACAATACATCTGTAGCTAATAGTGTTAATAATACTAGTAAAGAAAACACTCCTGATAAGGTTTGTGTACATGTTATTATTGATGTGTATAAATAGTGATTATTAATGAGAGTGGCTGGCTGCATTGTCTACTCAAGCAAAGGAGTCAGAGAACCGGAAAAAACAGAATATTTCTAAGTAGCAGGTGGATAAAATTTGGACAAGGTCAGGCAATGGTTACTTTAGTTCATCATATAAAACTGTTGTAAATATTTCAGCCAATCGTAACAACCAAACCAGAAATAAAGTCAAATAAACCAATCATCGAGCAGAAACCAGCTACGGAAAAACTTTCAGATAATTCTCGTGAAGCAACGCCTGAATCTAAACCTGAAATTCCCAAAAAGTCATTTAAAGCATTCACAGGTAAAGTTTAAACTGCATTTTCAGCAAATTTCAACACTTTCAGATCACCTACCTCATATTATATGATATATATACCTATATGGGGGGTAAAGCAGGTGTTGCTAAGTGACATCACATAATATTAACGTCATACGATGTAAACCATATTACTTGGAGTTATACATTATACTTTTATATGGTATTTTAGGTTATTAAATGGATTATGTTTCTAGCAAAGAAAACAATCATCCTCTTAATTACTTTCCAGGTGTCCGAGCAACTAAATTTCGTCATCTAAGATCATGTATATTACATCGTAGTGAACATATTGAGAATATTCGACATCTAGATAGGACAGTTCCTGGTGAAAGTGATTTCTTCCACGCTAACAGATTACGTTGTGTGGTACCAATAGAAGGTGGAGGTGGCTCAGTCTCTGTTATAGAGGTATCTAACTTTTCTGGGTTTCATTAGAATGTGGGTATATTTTGCAGTCACTCCTGTCCGTCCGTCCTCAATTGGCTTTTGAACGCAGAAGAGGACACAGATTTAGTGTGTAGGATAATATCCACATAATCTTGGACAAGTTTGAATTTGGATACGAATCTACTAATTTTGATAAATGGGATGTGGTTTGGTAGGAAAAGTACTGTGTCCTAGTGACTTGACAAAATTCCTATAAAACTTGATTTGAATATATTATAGCTGGCTAATAAAGGTAAACTACCTAACACTGATGTACCAATGATACAAAATGGAAGTAAAGTTACAGATTATGTTTTTGATCCTTTTGATGACAGTCGACTTGTTGTATGTAAGTAAACAAATTTAGTTATTTTAGTGGAAAGAGTTTGGTGCTCTGGGTCCCATAATGAACAGTTACCCTGACATCAAGTAATACCAGACTTGACCACCAGAAAGGCTCAAATATCAGATTCTCCCTAAAGGTGCCCCTCACATCATATCAATCATCAGTTGGGTATGGTCGCTAGCCCTCTTAAGTTTTTTCTTTCTCTATTTCAGGTTGTGATGATGCTAGGATTCGAGTCTGGAGAATACCAGAAGGAGGTTTAACAGAGAATGTAGAAGAACCTGAAATGGTACTAAGAGGTAGGGAAAGCTTTTTATTTTATAATCAATCAATTGTATATTGATGACAGAATTCGTATTATTGTATATTGATGACAGAATTCGTATTATTGTATATTGATGACAGAATTCGTATTATTGTATATTGATGACAGACAAGTCATATAGTTTTGTATACTCCTTTTGTAAACCAGGTAGGAATGATTCCAACGTGAGATCCAATAGTCTTGTTAAAGATTGGTCATGAAGATACCTACAGATTACATTACCTAGTCTACTGTCACTGGTTAAAATACTTTTATAATTTAGATAAATTGAAATGTTTAATTGGGGTAATGAGGAAGGATAACATTACACAGTGTGCAATGAGGGAAATTTTGCCAGGACATCATTACTTGTATTACCTTTATTTTATAGGTCACACAGAGAAGTTATATTTTGCCAAGTTTCACCCGATGGCTAAAGATTTATTAGTTACGGCAGCATATCATATTAAATTAAAATTCTGGGATTTATCTGATGGTAGTGAGGTGATGGAGATTACAGATCATCCAGACCAGGTAGGGATTCATCTGATGGTAGTGAGGTGATGGAGATTACAGATCATCCAGACCAGGTAGGGATTCATCTGATGGTAGTGAGGTGATGGAGATTACAGATCATCCAGACCAGGTAGGGATTCATCTGATGGTAGTGAGGTGATGGAGATTACAGATCATCCAGACCAGGTAGGGATTTATCTGATGGTAGTGAGGTGATGGAGATTACAGATCATCCAGACCAGGTAGGGATTTATCTGATGGTAGTGAGGTGATGGAGATTACAGATCATCCAGACCAGGTAGGGATTTATCTGATGGTAGTGAGGTGATGGAGATTACAGATCATCCAGACCAGGTAGGGATTTATCTGATGGTAGTGAGGTGATGGAGATTACAGATCATCCAGACCAGGTAGGGATTTATCTGATGGTAGTGAGGTGATGGAGATTACAGATCATCCAGACCAGGTAGGGATTTATCTGATGGTAGTGAGGTGATGGAGATTACAGATCATCCAGACCAGGTAGGGATTTATCTGATGGTAGTGAGGTGATGGAGATTACAGATCATCCAGACCAGGTAGGGATTTATCTGATGGTAGTGAGGTGATGGAGATTACAGATCATCCAGACCAGGTAGGGATTTATCTGATGGTAGTGAGGTGATGGAGATTACAGATCATCCAGACCAGGTAGGGATTTATCTGATGGTAGTGAGGTGATGGAGATTACAGATCATCCAGACCAGGTAGGGATTTATCTGATGGTAGTGAGGTGATGGAGATTACAGATCATCCAGACCAGGTAGGGATTCATCTTCTGACATCATTATCACAAAATTTTCTATTAATACATAAAAACTCTAGCGATAGTGATGTCATAATACACTTAGTTTTAGTGGAATTGCAAGAACCACAGATGTCTGATTGAAAATTAAAATGGTGTAAATTGATTCTATCATATAAATTTTTTATAACCTTTTCTCAATCCTTTAAGCAGCCCTGATTGACTTTCTCTGTTTATCAGACAGAATCTGTTAGAAATAGTGAATCAGAATAGCAAAATTTTCGTTTATATTTTAGATATTTTGTTGTGCTTGGAGTCCATGTGGTAAATATTTAGCTACAGTATGTAAAGATGGTCAACTCCGAATTTATGATCCTAGAAACAGTTTACAAGCTATTAGGGTAAGATATTATCAATATAATCTTAGTTTGTCTGGTTCTGTTAGTTTTTAATATGTAAATCTGATGTTCTTTTTGTCTGTTTAAAGATAAGAATTTAACGACCAAAGCTCAATTTTTTTTTACAAATGTGTGGGTAAATTAGTTTTGCTTAAGAGTTAATAATCAAAAGTAACATTGTTTTCAGAGTGGACCAAGTCATCAAGGAACTAGAGGTGCTAGATGTGGCTGGGCATTAAACGGAAAATATATTTATACTTCAGGTTTCTCCAAGTAAGTCTTCTTTTTATTGGAAGAAATGAATCCTGTCTGTATACATACTTAACTGTATCATTAGATTATCCTGCACTGGATGATATATCTCTTATAATCGAGGCTTTATATGTTATAGTTCTATAAAACTAGCCTATTTAAAGATATTTTTAAAGTGTTATATATTATATTATATTATATAGGAGCAGTGTTAGAGAGATAATTCTATATGATAGTAATGATTTATCAGAGAAAATAGCCAATGGCACTCAAGATACTTCACCATCAATATTAATACCATTTTATGATGAAGATAGTAGTACTGTATTTCTCACTGGTAGGGTATGTATATATTTATATATTATAAAATTACTATGAAAGATCTGACAATTCAATATACCCATATAATCAGTATTTCTGTCTTCATAGCTAGAAATCACAACATATATATGAACAAATGGGTTACTGAACAATATAATATTAAAGGAATACTACCTGTTAGAATGAACATTAAATTTAAAGTCTCGAACTTGGTCAAAAAGTGTATATATTCTTCAGTTAGACTTACCAGGTGTCATGACTAAAGAATAGAATTTCTATATAAGATGATATATCTATTAAACTAAGTGAAGTATGTTTTGTTTAATTAATCAGCTAATTAATTATATTTGAACTCTTCTTTCAGGGAGATCGCCAGATATTTGCATATGAAATATCGACTGAACACCCCCATCTGTTTCCATTAGCAACGAGTAGTTTTGGAACGATACATCAAGCTCTGTCGTATCAAACTAAAGATAAATGTAACGTTAGAGACGTAGAGTTTGCTACAGCGTGGAGATTAACCAAAACTACTATAGAACCAATCGTATTCAACATACCTAGAGTTAAGGTGGGTACACGCCTCCATTGTTATGTTTGATTGTGATTGGTTGGTCGGTAGGAGACAAGACACCATTCTATGATATTATGATCTTGACAATTGTTTTATTCTTAATAATGTAAAAATTTCACTCTTCAGAAAGAATTTTTCCAAGATGACTTATTTCCTGATACAAAAGTTACATGGGAACCGGTTTTATCTTGTTCAGACTGGTTACAAGGACAAGATGGCCACCAGAGAAAAATCAGTTTAAAACCAGATGATATGGAAACATGTAAGTGAAGAGATTGTAAAGAGGTTTTCTAAATTATTTATGTGTATCGGGGACATATCATCAATTTACACCATTCCAATTTTAAGTCAGACGTCTGTGGTTCCTGCAATTCCACTAAAACTAAGTGTTTGATGATGTCACTATTGCAAAAGTATAGTATTATATAGTATTAGCAGCAACAGTGCTATCTATGGAATACCAAAACGGAAAAAAAACTTACATGAAAAAATCATATATCAAGAAATTCATATCCAGAAATGAATTTTATTTTTATTCCCCAAAATTTAATGTGACAAATTTTAATCATCATGACGTCTGCTTCATTTTCAGTGACTTCTCAGCCAGTTTTAGAGAAGAAACCAAATAAATATGAAAGTTTTAATCAAGATACGTATAAATCAGACGATCAAAAGAAAGAAGAGGTAGGAAATTAACTGCTTTATACTAGAAAGAATTAGCTTGAAATTTTAGTCACGCCCTTCCTAAAGAACCTGAAAGTCTTTGGAAGTTTGGATATACCTTTCATCCAATTCATTTGCAACTTCAGAAGTACACCTTATTGTGCTTTGATTTGTTTTGAAAAGTAGGAAGTAAAACTCGATTTATTTCTATTATAGTTACTGAGTGCCATGACAAATAAACTAGAACTACATGATGATCCCCTACCTCAAGATTTAACAGAGGGTGTAGATGAAGATGAATGGGTAAGATGGTATTTCTATTTATACCTCAAGGGTTCCAAATAATCTGGAAAAGGTTCAGGATATGGCTCATCTTTATAATGTCAAGCTATTACGAACTTCTTCTTATACCTTGACTGCAATAGCCACCTTTCTTGTATCATCTTATACTTCTTCACAATGTTGAGCAATTACAAACTTCGTGTGACATCATTCCACATTATTCTTGTATCATAGAATTTGTAAATGCAGCAATTTGATTGGATTGTTCCTTAGCGAGTACAACCAATCATGTGCATTTCTACTCTTTTTCATGACTTATTTTTTCTTTTCTAGGATGATTATTAAAGAAGAAGAAGATACCTGGTCCTAATTACTGTCTAGTTTTCAATTTATATATTTAGAAACATTATTCCACCATTATAGTGTATCAGAGGGCAGGGTGACATTGTTTTACCATCCTTTGGCCTTTTTTTAATTTAGGTTATCCATTTTTGTCAGATACCCAATACCAGAGTGACCATCCCCCATGTTTTATTATCCTAGTCCCCCTTCTAAATAGTGCCAGTATTTGTTTCATATTGAATGCATAATCTATAGTGAAATATCTATAGTGAAAGTAGTATTGGAGAAAATGTCTTTACTAGATGCCTCTAGAAAAGTGGCACTACAGGCAGCAAAGTCATTTTTTTGTTGAATCATGCACAGGTGAGGAAAATATAGATCAAAATTTATTTTTTTTATAAAACTTATGGTCAATGCCTGATTCTTCAAATTTTATACTTATGAAACCCTATTAAGCAATTCTACAGAGCAGCAATTAAAGATTGTTCAATGGATTGTGTTGAAGTTATGAAGGATGAATATTAAACTAAAGACAGTTAATGAGGCTGCTCATGCAAATCAAGATAACATCTCAATGTATGTAGATAGAGTAATATTGTATAATAAAGGGCAGGAATGTTTGGATAGGGCAGCAACAATTCAATCAACAATTGGTAGCTTCATTTTTTGTCACAAGCAATAGAACTATTTGTTTTAGTTTAAGATTTTATAGCAATTTGTCTGTTTAAGAAACAAAATGTTTATAATTTGTACAATAATATGATGTTTTATAATTGACATGATATAAATAATATTTCAATAACTAGAATAGAATTTTTTCTATGAAAACAGAAGAATTAACATAAAAGTGAAAAGAAGACTAAAAAAGAATTAACAGAGAGCAAAGATATTTATCTATATCCAGGTCTGTTTCATAACATTACAGTCCACTTTTTCTGTGTGTAATTAAGACTTCATGTCTTGAGATTTGAACCCAGATGCACACTAAAATCTTAATCATTCTATCCTCTAAACACTGTCCACAAGGTGCAGAAAAGTAGGACGTAAAACTCCTTTCATTTTACACTCTCATATCAAGTCATCACTCTGTATCAAAGACAATGGGTGATATTAATTAGTTTAAGACTAGAATGATATTTAAAAGTGAGGAGTACATGTGTTCAGTATTATCAAAAAAAGTGTGTTTATTCTATAATTGTCTTGTGTTTGTGATGAATCATAACATAACAATGAAATTAACATTAAATATAAAAGAAAAAAATATCAAATCCCCTCTCCCATATACATGTAAGATGTTATAAAAAAAAACATAACATTAAATAACCCAAACCAAATATTTAACAAAGAAAATGAAATTTTAACTGAAACTGAAACATATGATGGGTTGAGCTGAATTTTGCTCTAATCCGTATGACCTTTATAGTTTTAAATTATATGAAAATTTATCACCCTTCAGCTTTGATGGTATTTAGTGTCTATCACGGCCCGTTTTTCTTCTCATTTCACATCAACACATCCTTGGAAAGTATATTCTAAGGGAGCCAACTCTGAAATCCATATCCTTCAATCCTTGTTAACGTTCCTCAACTGGCAAATATTCAGCAACAGAAACAAGAATTCACAGCCAGGATGGTACTGGTATAATATAATAAAGAATGATGATAAATCTTTGATTTTAAAAGAAGTTCATAAATACACTCTGTATCAGCAACATCCTACCCTATCTCTAGGTATTAATCTTAATTCTGAACCATGTTTTAAAAATACATTTCCTGAAAGATAAAGATAAGTTGATTAAACAAGGTGGACAGAAATCAACAGTTTAAATGTGCTTTCAGAGGGGTTTTAAGTCTTGTGCTTCAGGAACACTGTATACTAGCCAATTAGGGTAAAATCATCATAGCCACTGATTTCACCTGAAGCCAAATTGTTTGAAATCATCTGTTGAGGCCTTTGATTCAGAGTATTCTACAGTGTACAATCCAATCAAATCGCTGCATAAACAAACTTCTGTGACACAAGAAAGGCAGTTATTGCGAGGCATAATCTGGAATAGCCCGACAATGTGAAGATGTAATTGGACAAACCTGGAGGCGATCCTCAATTACTTTAAACATATTCAAGAGGTTTATTGGTTATAACATAACATAAAGATTATTTAGTCTATCAAGAAGTCTGTAATCATTAACATTCCTTTAAAAGCATCACAAACTCAGAGACTCATTGCTTTGGATTATTTAGTTTATCATGAATTGATACCTACCTGCGTTTTGAGCTGGATTAATTCCTATTCCATCATTAGTAATAATAGCACTAGTAGCTGCTGGAACTTTAAACTGAAACGCACAAAATCAAATTGATGAAGACCACAAATCAAAGCTTTCCCCGTGTAGGTAAGCTTAACCATCATGAGAATTAATCAGATCAAATTTTGCCTGACAAAACAAATCAGCCAAGATGTAAGAATTCGTAATATTTGTCCTTGAGCTTGCTATAAGCTGTCATTGTATGTATACTAAACCACCATATTGTGGTTATGTTTCAATATAAAATTCTCTATACCCACCTCTTCTGCAGCAAATTTTAACACAGCTGTAAATGGAGTCTGTTCAGGAACACTTAGACTGAAAAAAAAATTGTAGATCAACATCATTTAATCTTAAATAGTCTAATCAGTTTTCAATAGATCAGTAAGAATTAGTAAGTGGAATTCTGTTTAAAATCAGCCTGTATCAAGTTTTTTTTTTGCAATAAGATAAATAGTGATTTCAAAATTTATGTCACCATCATAGACTTAGACCACATTGGGAGACATTCTTCAACATATATTGATAATAAAAGTGATATTAAACACAGTGGATCACTGTCCAATAACGTATGGCTTACAGTGGTTTCCCCCCTTAACAAGTTCCTCGCAGAGTATCACCCATAAAAACCTGCATTTCGTCTGCATTTCTTCATTTTCTCGTTCTTAAACTCTAAAGTTAGGTCTATGTTTGAAATACAAGGAATTCCAATACTAACACTGCTTAGGGTTAGAGTCTTCTGTTGAATAGTCGCTTGTTACCTTTCAACCACCCTAATCACTAAAGAGAAACAGCCTGGGCCATGGGCATGGCAATATGAATGTAAACAGTCAACATATGGAATGAAAAACTTACACTTTATATGGGAGCTTGGGATCAGACGTCAGCGTTATTTTGAACGTAACTTTCGACCTAAATAAAACAAAAGTTCAAAATAACATACTTTAAATCATTAGAATATTTCATGACAACGAAACCAGTAATAAAAGAAAATAGAAGACACTCACATTTTGCGTTCGCTTCGCCGACACGAGTAACCGGAAGTAAAGCGACGGAGCAAATTTCTGCAGACGTCTCGGTCAGCCCCAAAAATATTCACAATTTATCAAAAAATATGACGCAGGTTTGATTGAAAACAACAAAGGCGGTTCAAAAGAAGATGTTTACTCCGAGCTCATAAAAACGTCTCTTTTATTTTTAATTTACAATTTGTTTTCCGTTAACGTAAGAGGTTAAAGGTCACCGGGCCGCCACGATAGTAGCGCCACTGAACGGTAAAAAGAGAAACAAGCATCTGTTATTATTTGGTCATGTGATTTCATTGCCTATGGTCATAACTAAAATGGCCTTGCGCAGAACTGTACATATTTTAATTTTTTGTTTATTAATTCCCTCAGTGATTTTAAGTGAGGAAAAATATGATGGCAATTTATTAGAACATAGCGAAGACATTATAAAATCGCAAGATGCGGAAGAATCACTTTATAAAAAGGATATAACGAAATTGTCAGGTAGGGAGGCGTGTAATTTTTTTTTATCTTTCTTAAGAAATTTGATCTCATCTAGTCAATAATATTTATTATTTTAAGATTAGGTAACAGACCTCGACAATTTCTGTGAGATTTTCTTACACCAGAACGCGTTTCTTCAATGTTATGTGGTTTAAATCTTTTACATCTTAAAAAATATAATCCGCAATTTGCGGTAAATGTCTCTTTTTAATTTTTTTCGGCAAAATTTAAAAAAAAATTGTCAAGGTAAACAAAGTCAGTCATAATATTGACATTGATTATAAAGATATGTACACTATTTGAATACATCATGGGAAATATCCGCAACCTGAGCGCATTTTTACAGTTGTGCGGCAAAATTTGATAACATACAAAAAATATAACATATGCATCTGCCTTTTCTTTATTCCCTTATGAATAGTAGGCTACATGGCAACACGGTGGCAGAATCAATGATAATAGTGCCTCCCATGACACTCATTCCTGGAATAATTTAATAGCAACAAATCTAAACTTCGTTAATTCTATACATATATAACGGAGGGTCTATGATATTATTTATGTGTTATTTTATAGTTGTATACACTATAGACTAGGACAAGAGTTTCAGTGATTTTGAATGTTTAAGCTTGATCATATTGATGATAGAGCACACATGTTTGGTGCCATTCCAGAAATGTTATCAAAATGCAATCAACAACTTAAAAGAACCACCGTTTATTGTTTTAGACAGAAAGGGGTGGAAATCAGGATATAGATTTACTGATAGCCTACGTTAGATTTTTTAGACTCTTTAAAAGGCACATTGAACTGAAACAAGTTGAATTTTGAGTTTGAGGTCTGGTCTGTTGGCTATTTCTTTAAGATACCTCGGAAAGTGTTTAAAGACTAATAGGGATAAATAATTAATTTATCAATACAAGTTACTTTAGAATCTCACTAAAGGTTTGGACAATTTACCGCGAAAGGTAGCCTCAGTGTTAGGGTACAGTCCCTCGAATACTGCTAAACTGAAAGACAGGGGTTTACAGCCTGGGGGTAATAATGACATTCCCGACTAGGTTGTGCCAGGTGTGAGTCGATCCTTCAGGCATAAAATCATTTGAATTTAATATTGATATAGATGTTGAATGGCTGTGTTTGGTTTGTTTAATTTAAATGAAGTATTGAAGATGGTAGCGGTAATGTCGGGCTAAGTTTTATTTCAACTCGTACAATTGTTATCGTGGTTAAGGCGACTGTCACTGTTAGGTACTATCTATAGTCAGAGATAACACAGTGTGATTTGAGGTACACGGTAACAAGTCGACTGTACTTGATATATCAGTTCGCAGGTACTTGGTGCTGACACGATATACTGGTACTTATACTGGTCAAAGTCATACACTTTGCTATATTTTTCGAAATGAGAATGACCCATAGGAGGGGAAGGACAGGGGCTTGTATTTAGGCTACAAGAACACTACAGACATGTCATTTTGAATTTTCTATTACCGTGAACTTGGAAACAGGCGATGGGTGACAGTAAATGTAATTCCTTGTATATCAAATGAACGGGTGCATACATGATGGCCTTCTTGCACGAAACGTTTTAATGGTTCAATTTGACATCCTTGTCGAACATTACATTTTATAAAAGAGAATCTAACATGTCAACTTTTTCAATCTGCATTTACATTCGGAAAACTTAACACAAAGATGATTTTAAGATGTTAATAAATTTTATTTGAATTCGATCACCACATCTATATTCTGGGGGGATACCGATGCATCAATGAAGGACATGCTCGTTCTTTTCGGAACACCTGCTACAATAATATGACTGAATTACTGGATAAGCAAATATAAAATATAATTTGCATAATAACGGCATCAGAAACTGCATATAACTTTAACCCATCTTTTATTGACAAGCACAACTCGATGTTATATATTTGATAAGAGAGACGAAAAGATATAAAGCAACTGGAGAACACGTTTTCCCTTTCAAATCACTATATAAACATTATTTTTACCCGTTTTCTATAGTTCTGTAATGTTGATACGAGACGACCTCGTGTCTTTATTAGTCCTATTTGGTAATTGAACGATAACTTTGATGTTGCAAAATATAAGTCAAGTTTAATATTCTCCGAGATTTTCTTTTTACATTCGTGGGAAATTTGTCTTAAACTTAAATGTTGTTGAATATTGTATCGAATTCTTTTACCTAAGCATTTGTCTTCCATAAACAGTTGTACTCTTCTCGAAACATCTGATGGTACTTGTCTTTGGAGGAATCCACTACTATACAAATGTTACTCTCGATTTTGATTAATCGATTGTCTTGTATGGATTTTGATAACGATAGTGGCATTAGACAAGGATGCTCTCTCGAAACCCTTCGATTTTTATACAAATTTTAACGACTTTTTAACTATGATTTTAAAACAGAGAAACGAATGTAATTTCATCAATCTTGTATATTTGCATATTATTTTTATATGTTTAGTAAAAACCAAAATATACATAAATTTATTACTATAGGCCTACTTAAAAATGTATATAACCTGTATTTTATTCTGTTCATTTTTACCAGTTTGAAATTGGCGTAAGTCAAGGGTGTGTTTTAAGGGTCTTATTATTCAATACTGAAATAAACGACTCTACAACATTATATATAAACAATATACAGACCTTTTCCTGAATTAAATTCATTCATTTGTAGGTGTAGTAAATTTTTAAATCGTAAAATTAAAGGGTTTGAATAAATAAAAATTAAATAGAGCGAGTGGTTTTGATAATATCGATAAGTTTTATATTTCACAATAATCAACAATAAACACAATAAAACCATTAGTGGAAATATCGATATTGAAAGGTTTTTTAAAACTTTTAATAAAATACATGATTAATCAGCGATTCATCTTTCTAGAACACCCGTCAAAGATATTTCAGTCCCACCTTTTTCATTCTTTAATCAAATCGATTAATCCTTTTCACCTAGTGGTACTTCTCGTTTGAGGAGTCCACTATCATACTATTATTGCTCCTGTCATTCTTTAATTTGGTTACTGGAATTGTTTTGCTTGTACAACTTTTATTCGGACTGTTCATAACTGCTCATATTTTCAAGAAATGTTTTAGACAATTCGAATTTTAAACTGCGTTATTATCACAAATTAAGAATATGGGATCTCCACCTAAGATTTGTAATAATAATGATATTTTATCAGTTAAAACTCTATCAAGATTAAATATGAGACGATTGTCCAATATACGGTGAGATACGAAGGTTATTATTTGTAATGTTGGCGGTGACAGGCTCGCCTTGGTTCATCCACTCTCTGTCTCAAGAAAATCACTCGACTATTGTTTTTAAAATTACAATGTTTCAACTACTAACCTATTCTTCTTACACTTGTCATATTTTATAAACCGTCCAAAATACCATCGAAACGTGTGTAGATCAACTTTTCAAATTTGGCATTTTCAATTCTTCTCGTTCGATAGCCATTAGACCAGTTATACGTTATGAAATAGCAGTTTATGGAAACAAATTATCGTTGAAATATTCGTTTTATATTAGTTCGATAAAAGTTTAAATCAGATATGAAATTAAAATAAAAAGCTATGACTGTATTGATACCTGGTGAAGAATGAGTAAGTGAAGTTCGTAAAATATACAATTGCGCTGGACATTCTTTTTTTAATGAAATATAGAATAAATATGAGTTTATTTACCAATAACAAGATGGTACAGATTATTAAAATATCGAGATAGCTGCCTTAATTTTTAATTTAAAAGTCAAATGAAATCTTATATATTATGTGTCTCTAAGTGACTTACTCCTTTATGTTATTATTTTTAAACTTTGGCTAATTCAAATTTTTATGTTCGACACCTGTCTTTTTACATTATTATAGTTATAGTTAAATGGACTCTGTGAAGGGTGGCGAGTTGACAAAGTTGCGAGTCAGTATCAGGTGTTGCAGAAGGTTGTATCTTTCCGTCTCAACTATTGTAAAGTGATCCAAATTGAAGGATCTAATATGGCATTGGTATACAATTAGTTGTTTCTGTTCAATATTTCTAGATATTTTTTTTAAGAAAAACTCACTTCGCTATTTTAAAAGTTTGACTTTGAAAAATGATGCAAATGGTCGAAGACCCCCTAACGACATGAGTACAGAAAATTGTTGCTTCTTTATTGTGTCTTTTCAATATTTCTAGATATACAAGGCCACACTAGATCTATTTTAAAAGTTGGCATTGAAAGGGTTTAAGTTGAAGGATGGTCACGTAACATTAAGATGAATAGAGTACTGCTATAACTTACTAGTGGACACGTTTACCTATTGTCTAGTGGTTTACATCGTAAATACATAATAAATACTCCACTCATTATAATATTTAAACA